ACAATACAGCACCTTGTAGTACTCCCGAATTGTTCACCAGTGGTTTGGACGGTTTTCTACCGAGCCGAGTCTGCTGAGTTCTGTTTGTGAAATAGTCGACGAGCAACGCCAGTAGGTGCTTGCGACAGCCAAATGATTCCAGTTTACGAAGAAGGACGGAACGTGGAACATAGTCAAAAGCTGATGAAAAATCTAAGAAAACACATCTTACAGACTTTGCAGATGCGTCTAAGGATTTGGTAACGTGATTAACGAGGGAGGCAACAGCATCCAAAGNTTTGATTTATAAGCGAACTGGAGATAGTCTTCAGGGGTACAGAAGGAAGCAGAAAGGCGTTTGAGAATGGCACGTTCTGCCAATTTAAGACCGCAGGACGTTAGAGCAATGGGACGGAAACGTTTGGACACGGTGCTGGATCTGCACGGTTTTGGAATGGGAATGATTGTGACGGGTCTCCAGCAATTGGGAATTGAATATGAACTAAGTGACGTGTTGAGGATAGAAGTGAAATCATCCGTTAGAGCCAGGGTACCCTGCTTTAGAAGGGATGAAGATAAACCGTCAGGGTGGTCTCGATAGCCAACCAGCCTGGGATAGCCAAAAGAACAGCGTTGTTGGTGTTTAAAGTTTGACTGCGCTCGAAATGTTGTTTCCGGAAATTTTGTAGCCCGACTGAGCAAAATGATCGATGCGACTTCGGGAAAGCGCCGGTCCAAATAGTGTGTGTTCATGTGTACGTGTAAGTTTCGCCAACGACCAGTGCGTACAAAATTATATAAGCCAGAGAAAACTGATGGTGTTATCCTCGTCTGGCTATGAAACGTCTGAACACAACATTTCCAGCGGAGGGAGTCCTCGGACACTGACAACCCCATCCTGAAATACAATCATCCCACATTACATTTTTACCTCTTCCTAAGTATTCTATTGCAAGACTCCAATTTTCAGCTTCGGTTATACTTGATTTTTGGTGTAAAAGTAAAAATGAATAAACTCATGTAAACGGAAAGAAAAAGATAAACAAAAATACACAGATGAAAAATGACGCAAAGGCATTTTTGATTCAAGAACAATAAAAATGAGGGCAATCAAAAACATCTAAACCTGAACATGTTCCTTGGAGCTGTGCGGAAATCGCTTTGTGTGGAAAGAATAATTGTAGGATTGAGAAGAATATGATGCCAAAATGTGGTTCGACATTATTAGTGAGAAAAGATTAAGGTAGACTATGTTAAGACACGATAATCGAGTTCGACCAGTGAACAAATTATGACAAAACCTATTTTTAGGGGTCACTCCTATTGGAGTGACCCGTAAAAATAAGCTTTCATATATATATNGATGTTCAGAAATTATTGCTATCAGGATATTGTGATGAGGAAACGCTAATGTGATTCGCCAACGCACCGCTGCACACAGAGAAACTCACCGGAATCCGTAGACGTTAGATCCGGAAGAAAAGGAGCACATAACTTAATGTAAACTCATGCGAAAAAGTGCTCAGAAACCCTGATCTGTACCTGATTTTCAACATTGAAGTGTCCGCATTTATCTCATTCTTTCTTCATTATAGAATGAATTCAATTCCTAATAAACGTCCAACCTTTAAATAATCTGGGTGACCCTGTTTGAATTTTGAAATTTCACACCGAATTCATTCACATGATATAAGAAATCAATTGGTCACTAATATTGGTATTTCAATTGAGTCTAACACTTAAAATCAGGGAAGATTTTCAAATAGGTTAAAAGCTGAACTGCCGAATGTTGCAGAAACTAATACATTATTCCGCGTTTGTGGGAGTACTTTTCATTGTATACAATGTTTTCCCGCACTTCTTGTACTGAAATTAGAAACCTTTTCTTGAACGATTCACCGTCGCGCTTGGTTTTCAACTGCTTGCAACAACCCAGGCCCAGCAACAGCTTTACAATAAATTTTAACAAACATCTCCTAAAGTAAACTGCATTTTACGTGGGCTCAGTTATATCATAATACTGCAAACCAAGGGTGAAGTGAAAACTTATACTGTTGCTTCTCCTGGATTAGGCCTCGTCGTTAGCGTGAATCCATCGACCCAACTGAGAATCGAACTCGAGCTCCCATTAGTAGAATGCAAGTATACTTCTAACTTGATCATCAGATAGCTGATTGCATAACAAATATTCAGATTCCAAATTTTTAGAATCAACTTTTAACTTTGTAGTTTACTACAGAGGTGACTAACTTAAAATGCCGTAACAAGCTTGCAAAGGTCGATTGAATTATACCGCGTATGGACATCAGCGCATTTGCAATTCTCATCATCTAATTGTAAACTGATTTGTAGAATATGCTCTCCACCGTCTAATCAGACCATATCAATAACTGCATGACAATAATTCGAATCAGAAAAAGAAATAAAACCCAGTTGACTGGTTACGGATTCATGTTATTAGTAGTAATTCGCATAAACATGGCAGCTGCTGGGACAAAATCTCAGCATAATATCTTCGCTACCGCATACAATCGGATTACTAGTTGATAAATCGCGGGTTACGATCTGAATCAAGGTTACAGCGAGAAACTATAAGTGGAGTAGAAACGGACAATTATACCTTTGAATGATTGTCACATTTCTTAGCAAATTTTATTTTTTATACCCACTCAAATAACCCTTTGCGTTTTGCTTCTAGTTGGTCACATTTGATGAGGAAGACATACCGATCAAAACGTTTTTTTTCAATGAAAATATTTTCAAGCAATTATACTTCAAGGAACACAGGCACGTGAACGACCTACTTTACTGTGGACATAACCCGTCACAGTCAGGCTATGAATCGATCAGTATATTGAATTCTGAAAACATTTCATAGGTAACAATGGAAGCAGCATACCTAGGATGTAACAGCCTTTTACGATGCGAGATAGGACTGTAGGTTAACCGTTGTCGTAGATCAAGGGTTGAGATTTTCATTCATAATAGACTGAAATGTCGCCTGACAACAAACCTTCTCCCTCCCCAACGCCCTACCTGCATCCGCATACACACACAAAGGTAAAAACCACCACAGAAGAAACTGGCGGCGATTAATTGATGTGCACCCTACATCAACAGTCCTTTTAGTGATAGCGATCAACAAAACTGTGATATGATGCCGAGCAGCAAAGGAACGGACTAGGATTTTGCAATCTTAAAATATGACTTCAGTGGTAGAGTTCAAACTAGCAATCTTTGTACAAATTTTGATCTTTTGAGCACCATGTGGACCAACTCAAACTGGATTCCTGTAGACACAAAATTTAAAGTGATGAATTTAAAATAATTTTTCTTGCAATTATGACATGTATCTACATAAGTAATTATTGATGTAACAAATGACATTGAATTTCCATGTGTAGAAATGTTCACCTTTTATTTGAGGACCAACTACACCATCCCGATTGTGTTCCAAACTAGGTGTGTTATCAAATGCATGTCACACAATTAGAATCTG